ACACGATCAGCATCAGTGAGATACTCTTTGTCTTGTAATACGTACTTGGCAGTACTGGTATCAGCAGCCAGTGCAGCGATAGTTTTCTTGTCCCAAACCAACGGGCCTTTCCTGAACTCCCTAATCGTCGGCAAGAAATTAGACGTGTACCAGTTCGTAGACTGCATGGCCTTGGACTGGGTCTGCGCGCTGCCAGAAAGGTGAACCGCTGTCTGCTGTGTAATAGTATCGTTCTGGTACGTGAGCGAGATCGTAGCGTCCGTGACGAGGTCCACACATCCCAGACTCAAGGGCACGGGGAAGTACTGTGTCAGGTCCTGTCCCGCAAGCGAATCGAGACTATCCGCCGCATTGCTTGGTTCGCCAATGATATCACTATGGTCCCCATGCACGAAGTTCGACACGTCATACACGACGCCCTGTATCGAGACCCAGAAATCGTTATCACCCTGGTGCTGCGCGACCTCGTTGGACTCCCACGCCTTGTCGAAGTTGGGGCACAGCAGCCGTCCGAACTCGACGATGTAAAAGATGATGGTGCCGTTCAGGAGGAGAATGAGCCAGCAAATCGCGACCTTTTCGCGCCATGCGATCTGGATATCGGGGCGCTTCATCCGCCCGAGGTGCTTGAGCATGAAGCTTGGGATGAGCCATGTGCAGGCCCATACGAGCCAGAGCCACCAGCGACGAGCCCGGCTCGTCGGGATCTGCTCCACCGTGTTGGGCGCATCCTTGACAATGACCTCCCCACTTTCCGCCTTGGAGTACGGCGGCGCACCACCCTTGTTATCCTCGTCCCATCCCTCGCCCGATCCACCAAACCCGCGCGCATCAACACTGGGCGTATTCAGCCCCCCAGCGCCATATTCCGCATTTGGGTCCTGGTACCTCGTCCCATCCGCGCCCGTCCTCGTCAACAACAAATTGTCCGCACTCTCATTAAAGTACCCCGACTGTGCACCCGGAGCACCAGGCGTGAGCCCCCCATTCTCCGGATGTGTATGCGCATGGGTGTACTCTGTACCATCAACGCTCCCATCATCGTCACCTTCCGCCGTAGCGCCCCTCTTCATCTCCTTTTCCCCCGCACGCACCGTATCCTCCACCATCTTCCACGCACTATAGCTCAACCACACCCTCCCACCTCCCCTAGCGTAATCTCCGCCCTCCCTCCACCCATTCGCCCGTGCACACTGCGTGATCCTCTCCTCTTCCGACCCCCGCATCGTCGGCACATAGCGCTCACAGAATTCGCTCAGCTGATAATCCGCCACATACTCCGCGCTCCTTCGGCTCGCTACGTCGGGGAGAAGCAGAGCACGTATCTGGGATTTTACACGGCGCTTATCGAAGGAGTTGGGGGAGCCCGAGTCGTTCGGGCGGATGCATGAGAGATTCCAGATGAGGTGGGTTTGCGAGAAGGAGGCGAAGAGCTCGGAGAGGGTGAAGTTGAGCTGGGAGGTGACGGGATAAGTCTTTGTGGGGTCAAGTCGGGGGTGCTCCTCGGAGGCTGGGGGAAGCTCGCCTGAGGCGGAGGCGATAGGGGTAGGCTGCCGCAGCGGCCGGGAGGACACTTGTGATTGGACGATGGTGTTCTCGTCCTTGTAGTGCCGCTCGGCGGCAAGGCTAGGTCCTGAGAGGAGCTTCGAGACAAATGGATCAGAGGAGGTGCGTAGGAGCGAAACGAACGCCGAGTCGAGGAGGTCGCTGTCTCTCTCTACGAAATTGACGATATCGTACGATACGGCGCCAGAGTAGTGATTGATCCCGAAGAGGGTCCTGTCCGTTGCGTGCCCGGGGTTGGCGATGAACGACGCGTGTACGCCGAACTTGGAGATCATCTCCTGGAGCATATCCTCGTCGCGATGGTCACCGCCCTTGCCCGACTTGAACGACGAGCTGCTCTTGTTCAGAATCCCAAGCACACCACCGGGCTTGCGCTGCGACCGTTCATTCAACGGTGCGCCCCTCAGAAGCTCGATGCAAGCCCCATTGTCCATCGTGGCAATAGAGGGGAGCGCGATGCCGTCGCTCGCCATGGCCGCATTGTATCCTACCGTGTCCTCGAAGGTAGACCGGAGGATGTAGGATTGCAGGAGCTCGTCAGAAAAGTTGATGCAGAACTCGTAGAAGTTGTTCTGGCCATAAACGGAGACCAAGGGGACAGTTCCGCTGAGGGACATGGAACTCGTGCCGGACGGGCCACGCGTCTGGAAGCCAGGCTGATCGAGGGTGATGATCTGTGTGTGGGGTGGGGCATCCTTGGGACCCGGGGCCAATCTATGATTAGCCGTTTCGGCCACGAAGGCAAAGAGGATTGAGTACAAGTCCCTCACGCATTGATCGCGCTGGGCGGCACTCTGCTCTGCGCTGAGGAGGACAGTGTACAGCTCCTTGCGGACGTAGCTGGTCTTGTTGGTCAGGACCTGTGTGAGATCGTCGGAGGAGGTGCCTAGGAGGCGGGCCACCTGATCGAGGACCTGAGTGTTGTGGATATATGCCGACACGGTGTGAGCGTCTCCATTCTGGAACTGGAGGTTGCCCAGGAGGAGAATAGCGACAAGGACACTAAAGATAGAATTCATGTGTTTCTGCTTGAAGCCGAGGGTGCGCATGGAGGCACGCAAGTCGGACATGCCGATGGAATCGTCGCTGAAGGGGCCAGAGGGGAGGCGATAGGTGCCAGAGGAGGCGAGGAGTGCGTATTCGGAGGGGTCTTCGAGGTTGAAGGCATCTCGCTCTGCAGCGGTAGAACCGGCGATGAGTTGGTAGAAGACGTGGAAGGAGCGCTCTTCGTGGGCGAGGCGGTTGAGGCGGGATTTGTCGAGACCGAATGTGAGGACTTTTGCGGAGCTGATTCGGCCCCGGTCGTTGAAGTGAAGTTCAAGGTAGCGACCGTGGCGCGAGGCGTTGGGGTTCATGAGAGTCTTGGCATTGCCAAAAGAGTCGAGAACGACGCCCAGGGCTTTGATTTGTTCGGCGACCTTGGCCTCTTTTCTCGAATGGGTCGAGAGGCGCAGAACCTGGTTAACAAACAGGCGAATAGTCGAACTTTTGCCAGACCCTGTGATGCCCCTGATGAAAATTAATGGCGAGTTTCGCAGAATTATAAGTGTCCACACACCTTGAAAGGAGAGTCTGCGATTCGTTCCTGCGTCGCATAAGAAGGTAAATTCTGGCAGCCAAGTCATAAATATGGGGCTGGAGGGGCTTTGGGGAGTCGACCATAGGCAGACTAGTGTCTTTGTAACACCTGTCCTCATACTCCTTTGCACTTATGTCATTGACGTTGGCAAGAGTCTTGTACGGATTCACAACGACAAGATTGGTTGCCCCAATCCTCGTATATGGCAAATCAGCACGAAAGCGAGCCTGGAGAACGGCAAGAATGGCGTCGTCGTTTGGGTAGATGGTCGCAGCGCCCGACGAAGAGACAAGGTCGACAAGGTCGCCCGAGGCGGTCGCCTGGGTCGTATTAGAGGCCATGGCCTGGGTAAGGAAAGACGACGAGCCCGCTGTGGACGACGGTGACGAGAAGAAAGCTGAAACGGTGACAAGGCTAGAACTGGCCGTTGCTTAGCATTCTTCCCGTGAGAATCTCGAAATGCCGTCAACACGTTTTTCTCCCCATCATCGATGCCAATCCCCTGCCTTGTTTTTTTTTTTCAAGTGGCATTGGGAACGCTGTTATCTCTTTATTCTGATAGGTTGTATGGACGAAGTCTCTAGAAAGTTCATCGATTGAAATAGGAGAGATGTCAATAGACCGGCGTTACCAGCCTTCTCTTGTCAGACGACGCCCAACATGATTTGAAGGCTATGCATGGAGGCTTTTCATCTCCCTGGTTCTGGTTTATTGTGACCATTAGAGTACATGCCAGGTCCGCCTCATTGTCCGTATTGTTATAAATTATTGATCTTTCATCACAGCATACCCCACATTACCTCCGTCACACACGCATGTTCGACCCCGGGGACATAGACTACGATATCAGCATTGCTCTAGGTGCCCCATCGGCTCTGGCGATTTCTAGGCCAATATACCAGAGGAGCACCTCTTCGGAGACGATTCGCCCTCGCAGAGGACATACTAGACCAGTACCACCTTCACCTCCTAGGCTCACTTACCCTGTGCCCACCACTGATATTGAACGGCCCACCCCACAACCCTCAGCTTACCTCTTCAAATCCTCGCAATACATTCACGACGGCGACCAACACCTCAATTTCTCCTACGACTACAAGTTCATCTCACTCGAAGACCTCATTGGGCACACGATCTTCCGCTCCATCCAGCTCGAACTCTATACCTCCGCTCGCCTCATGTCTCGAGCTGACCTTGCCCTTGGCCACCGCGAAACTTCGCGCGGGAACGACAACGCAAAACTGCGGCTGCTCCCTCGGCATGTCAATTCCCTCCCACATCTGTCCAACGTAAACATTTATGGCAATTTACGCGAGTCGTACGTCGCCCTGTTGGCGATGATTGCCCTAAAGGCTGGGATTAAAATCGTGTCTGTTGACAGGTTGCGCGAGTTGCCTGGTCAGACGGAGATGTATCAGCAGGTCGCGGGCGAGCTTGAAGAGGAGATGAGTGCAGCATATGAAGAGTCCCGGAGGATTCGTTGTTGCACGTAGGGGTTTGTAGTTATATTGACTATTGACAAGAATCAAAAAGCTTCATTGACAAGAATCAAAAAGTTTCATGGACAAGAATCAAAAAGCTTCAGTAGCAATGACTAGTCCTTTTCGAGTGGGTACCGCATCTACATTGTACGTCCAGCGTCTAGAATGCCTTTCTAATTTGATGAAAGAGCGCCTGCAATGCCTGTATGAATCTGTGGAAGACCTTACTTGATTGTTACAATGAATTTCCTTGTTGTAGTGTTATATATACCAAACTTTCAAGCTCAATTCAATCGTCTCCCTTACAGAATAGAGGTTATCGGGTGCGCCACAATTTAACTCCGCCATCACATCTTGTATTTGGTGACAAATATGGCAACTTGGCCGAGTGGTCTAAGGCGCTGGAATTAGGTCATCTACATCCAGTCCGAAAGGGCGTGAGTTCGAACCTCACAGTTGTCATTACATTTTATCTCTTTTGCTTTCTGTGATCAAAGAGGAAGGAGCTGAAGTTGAAGGACGAAAGACAGACAGAGGGCAAGAGTCCAAAATGGACAAATCACGTGGAGTAAACTTTTAGCTTCCTTTCCAAGAACACCCTGTATCAGCTCTATATTCGGCGAGTGTGTGGAGGATGAAGAGGGAGGGAAGAAGGGAGGGAAGAGCTTACAACCTTGGAGGGAGGTGTCTGAGGCCGGCATCCCAATTGGCAAGGACAATTACGTACTCGATTGACGTGTTGGTATACACTTTGTCCCCAGTACTATTGCTCGATCCCCTCCCCAAATCCACCCAACTTGAACCACAATTCTGAAAGGTAGCGGGTAAATATCTCATGATCACTGTTTATATACCAATATTTTCTGTGCCGTTGCACTGGCCATGGACCGCCGCTCTCTTTCGGTGGGCCTTCCGACTCTTTCACAGTAGAGTCGACAACCAAGCAAGTGCAGTGGCATATCAGCACATGTCACTATTGGTTCTTCCATTCACTTCTACTGCACTCATCTTTGTCAGCCTTTTGTGCCCTAATAATGAACAAAACCATTGTTGTCTTTTTTATTCTTTCCAGTGGATAAATAAAGCCTTGTCCCTGTGGAGTGCCTCTCCCACTCATCTGACATTCGCACTCCACATTGACGAGACAGCAAAACGGCCTTTGATTTCCCCCATCCATATCAAATCGACCATGTTTGACTATTGGGACCAACCAGACGAACTTGGACTCACTCTAAATAGCTTTATTCCATTTCCCGGCGACGATCCTGCTATTCCATCTTTCACCACCCAAGTCGCTCCCCGCGCAGGTCGTAAAAAACCCAGCCGAAGTGGTTCATCAGATACAATTCGGCCCTCTCGCAAAAATAAGTCTCCTCCACCATCTCCGAGGCTATCCTTTATCGACTTGCCGCCCGTGCCCAGTGTAGATGAATCTTCATCCAGGGCCCCATCTTCAAATATCAATGGGCCATTCTTTCCAACTCGAATGTATACCACAGAAAAGTTCCGCCTCCAGCGCTCCCACCTTATCCATGACGATCACTTGGATCTCAACTTTACATACGACTACAAGGTCATCTCTCTTTCGAACCTCAAAGGACACTCCGTCTTCCACTCTATTCAACAGCAACTAATATCATCCGCATACGATATGAGTCTTTCTGATTCCAAGACGAGGTACTTTCATCCTAATGGGACGCCGTTGCTCCCTAGGCATGTGCGGTCTTTGGCTAGACGACATCCGGATGTGTATGGTGACATGCAAGAATCGTATGTAGCGTTGCTGGAGCTTATTGCGCTGCATTGTGAAGATCGTATCAAGATTGTGTCGGCCGGGCAGCTCTGTGGGACGCAGAAGGCTATGTATCAGGAGGTTGCGAGTGAGCTCGAACGTGATATGAGGGCGGCATATGACAGAGTGAGAATCAGGTGATGGTGGATAACCAGTCCTGATGCACAAGTTATTACTTGGGCTATAGCTGGCGGGGATTCATCTAAATACTATATATAGTACAAGGAGCTGAAGACATAATTTTGTGACATTGTCCAGGACTTTCAACGCGTAGTAGTGTTTTACGAACCGCGCTTAGATACATAACTTACCTACAAGGTGAAATGAAACCTCTGCGCTTTGGGGCGTACAATAAAATTTATTGGAGAGTTGGATAAGAGTGACGTATTGCAGAGCATTAAGTGGGAGGGAGCAATATGTTAGAATTCCACAGGATCAACATGCATGCTACTAGTTTGCTAGTAAATTGGGATTGCAAGGTGGCATACAAGGCTGCTGGCATACTTAGAAATACAAAGTGCAAGTCAAAGTTTTTTTCTTTCTCTTTTTTTTTTCTCTCGACGAATTACTTATACATTGCCCAGACAGTGACATAGTCAACCGCTTCGGGAACTCACATGTGTATACATAAATAAATGGAATTTATTTCGAATTTCGGTGGGAACCTTATCCACAGCCAACAGCGAGTACAAGGAGCGGGAATCAAGCTGTTTAATGATCACCTCATTAGAGTTTTGGAAGATTACTGATGACGAGATGACATACCTCCTCAACATCCACCACATCCGCCGCCGCCGCCGCCACCGCCGCATCCACCACCTCCACCTCCACACCCCCCACCGCCGCACCCCCCACCTCCACCACACCCGCCCGCGCCCGCGCCTCCACCACCACACCCAGTGCCACCTGTCAGGGAAGATTAACACCGAATAATCATCATTACACACAAGAGACCCATACCAGCTGTACATCCTCCGCCAGCAGCGCAAGATCCACCGCCCTGTAGTAACGCAATGAGCCAAGAGACCCCAAAATAGTGCAATGAACAACTCACTACAGCACACCCACCAACTCCGTTGGGAGTCGCACTATACACAACAGCTCCCCTGAAGGCAACGCACCCAGCGCCAATAAAACCATAGTACATGGGCACGGGGACCAAGAACGCCGCCTCGTGCGCCTCCGCCCGTTGGCGCTCTTCAGGTGTCAGTGCCTTATTCTTTGCCCGCGCATTGGCATCACGCTCCTGCCGCTTCTTGAACTTCTCACGTCGACGCTGCTGGAGGCTCTCACTGGAGTGCTTGCGATGCCATACGAAGACGGCATTGTGGTCACTGGGATGCGTCGCGGCGAGGAGGTCTTCACGGGCTGGGGGGACCAGATAGGACTTCTGTGCGCCGTAGTTGTGTATGAGCCGGGAGAGTCGTTGTCCGATGGTTTGTCCAGGAAGCGGGCATCCGCAATGGGTATATGGCATATTGAAGCGATCCTAGATTGGGTCGTCGTCAATTGACTCTAGGGTGTTTGTCTTCATAAAGAAATCAGTCTACCTTCCAAGCTCTGCATGTGAGATCAAATGCTGATGACAAAGTCTCCTCCGCGACCTTGTCATCGCTGTGATAGTATTAGGAGATGACCGGCAAAGGTGGAAAACATCAAGACTGACTGGTCGATGTAGCGCCCAACGTAGGTCATGCAGTTATTGTGGTACGTATCCGAAAGGAGTTGATGTGTATGCCAAGCAAGATCGATATCGAGCGTAGGCACATAAAACGATGCGGGCGACACTGACATCAGATCCAAGAACCTATTCAGAAAGATTGGTACTTAGTGTACAGCTTAGAAAAATCTTGGTAAAGACGCACGCATGATACCGTGCAATGGAATGTTGAAGAGCAACCTCGTCTTCACTAGAATCGAAGAAGTGAGGTTGAGTCCACTGCAGTTCGTGCATCTTCTTCACGAACGATCCCTGGCGTACTACCTACAGAAGTTTGTCAAGCACAGACATATTTGATTAGCTTTTAACATACCGCTCCGATTAGTTCGACAGAGAACATGTAGTCATTCTGGTATGCGGAAATTATCCTTGTAATCCTGGATGAAACAGTCAGTATCTGTCATTGTCATCTGACAAATTGAATCAAAAATACATACAAAATACCTCCTCTGAACCTCATCCTAGCGGCGATGGTCAACCTCATTTGATCCAAGTCATACTTATTCGCTTTCAACATCGAAACAACCCACGCCTCAGCTGTAGCATCCAGTGGCCTCTCAAACGCCGCAGCCTTTAACACGGAGTCCCTCACCAGATTCCCTCGAGCGTGATCAGCGGCATTTTGATTGGTCCGAATAGTCCCTCTGCCGGAAAGAAGTGAGAAGGTGAACAAAACAATGAGCAGATTTTAGAGCGCACGCGAGACAAGGTGGAAATTGGTCCCTGCCAACATCGGTTCGGGCCAAATCTTCTGCGAGCTTCCGAGCACCTAAGACGTTCAGCGTGATCTTAGGAACATCTTCTTCACAGCCTGGCTCAGAACATTGGACTCCAAAGTTTTCCTGCAAAAAGCCGGTGCCTTCTTCATTCATGTAATCTTTGAAATAGTCAAGATCATTGTTAGAGTTGCAAACGTAAGAGTTATACGTACCGACAGAGAGAGAGTTCCTGCACTTGGGACACAGGACTTGGCGTGAATGATGGATTTCAGCGTCTCGGACAGGGTCAAAAGGTCTACCCGTGCGAGCAGTCCAGGAGTCAACTCGCGCTTGCGTGGGCTCGGAAGTCACGATTTCTTCCAGATCAGACGACTGAAGAAAATAAAAAAGTCAAAAAGAAATCGCAAATATTGGGGCCCACTTACAAATGAGTCGGAGAACATTTGAGTGAGGCCTTTGAGGCCTCGCAATCCATATATACGGCTGCAGTCCTCTGCATACCATCTTAACCGTCAAGTTAGAGTCAGTGATTAGTCAATTTACTATAAACGCACGCAGGATTCAACATGTAGGCGTGCCACACCTAATATAATCTTAAAAACATACGGAATGAAGAGTTCTATTTCACGCACCATAAGGACATCCACCGGTGGCAGGACCTCTGCGGTGCATTGAGACGAATCCTCTTGCTGTAATGACTTGCACCAAATCGAGAACCTGTAGAATGCATCAGTCAAGCGATGACGGAATAAAATACAATAATCTCACCGTTCAACAGCCACGGCAACAAACCAGCCCCACCGCCTCTCCTTGTCCTGTGGTAGGAAAGGAATCCCCTCGTTCCCCTTAGCGTGGAG